AGGCTCTTCCCCCTGACGTAACTTTACTTATTCTGGGTACTAATAATGAGTGGCCCAAATCCGATCTTTTTCTTCATGTGTGACACAGATGTGTGTCTGCGTGTCAGTGTGAACAGATAAACACACTGAATCTGATATTTTCAATTCCGATTTGAGACACTTTCATATGTGGTACTGAAATCCAATACGTATCCGATCTGCGGCAGTGCGACTCAGTCTGAACTGCCGGATCGAATTCATGTGACGTTTATGTCAATCCAACTCGGCATTCGTTATAATTTGGCGCTGCTGAGACTCATAAACATTTAGGCTGATGTTTCTGTACAAAAATTAGAAGAGACTCATCGCAACTGCTCTGCGTTTGAAGAGATTTCACTAGAAATGTCCGAACGCCGCAGGAGAACGAGGCTGCAGCGTCAGAACAGTTAAAAGTCTGAAAGCAAAGTTTTAAAGAATCCAAGGACGCGAACCAAAGAAGTGACCGCGCCCTTTTTACGGCTGGAACACATTCTGGGTGATGAGCCCAGCTGTCAGTCAGTGAAGCTTCATGATGGCTCCTGTGATGCTGGTGAAGATGAAGCTGATCCTCCGGGAGCGACTGGCGTTCGTTGGCGGTCGTGATTGTTTTCCTCTGGATGAGCCGTGAAGCAGCGTGACGCTCTGTTCTTTTGCCCATGTGGGTCAGTTTAGGAGCTGATCTGACAGACTGATGTATAAGATAATCTGAACAGCCAAACAAAAAAAAATTATTTGGTGAGAAAAATCAGATTTGGGCCACTTTTACCTGCTGTGTGAACATAGCCTTAGTTAGGCCTTGGGGTCAGAAACTATAATCAGACACCACCTACATGACCACAAGTTGTTTTGGAGGTGTTGCCAGAAGAAAGCCTCTGCTGTGACCTGTGACGCCCTGACCTGTGAAGGACCAACAAACTCAAGCTCCTACAATCAAAGAACTTGTAGAGAGGAGAATTCCCACTCTGCAATGTCTTCCGGGTTTCTCAAACGCTAGAGGGCGCTCCCGAGTCCAAAATGAATGGGTTAATGTGGAGCACTTGAGCAAAATCATAGTTTATAAATGATTAAACATTTTTAATGTAAAAGAATTAATTCATTTCCTGAACACAGAACAGTATGAAACATTTTAACACTGCTGTTATATTTTTAAGAGCTTTTAAACTCGAGTTATAGGAGTTTAAAATGGTGTCCATGATGTCTATGAGTGCGAACAGCCAATGAGCTGCTCTGCTTGCCAATCAATCATTACTCTCTAGCAGTAAATCCCGCCTTCTGCTGCCCAAAACCTGTTTGCTGTAGAAAAAAGGAAACATACAGGTGAGTTTTCTTTGTTTTTTTAGTGAAATCCATCCTTCTACTGTCTAAAATTAAAGGAAAGTTCTGGTTCAGTGATTAGAAACTATTTTAACTTTTAGTTTTTAGCCGTTGAGCTCCATTTACTCCCATTCATTGAGGACTCGCTCGTGGGCGCCCTCTGCTGTTTAGCAGTCCTGTTTTTGATATAACGGGGGGAACAGGAAGTGGCCAGACTCCTCATAAACCGGCTCTGCTACAATTTGCCAGACATTATTGGATCTTTCAGTAGGACCATGTTCTGTGGTCAGATGAGAGCAAAATAGAGCTTTTTGGCAACAAACACCAGATGTGAGTTTGGCATAGACACAAAAATAGCTATACAGAAAAGTACCTCATGCCAACAGTGAAGTATGGTGGTGGCTGTGTGATTCTGTGGGGGGTATTTCTTCCAAGGGCCCTGGACAACTTTTGCGGATACATGGTACCACATCAAAAAGTACCAGCAGATACTGAAATAAAACCTGACTGCCTCAGCGAAGAGATTTAAACTGAGCTGTGGCTGGATCTTTCAGCAGGACAATCAACTCAGAAATGGTTCACTGACCACAGAAGCTATGGCCATTTCACTGCCCTGACCTGAAACCCATAGAACAGGGATATGTTGAAGAATCTGAAGGATCTGTAGAGGTTCTGTATGGAGGAACAGTCTCAGATCCCTTGCCCATGTGTTCTCCAGTTCCACATTACAGAAAATCCAGAGCTGTTATCTTTAAGTTACTGGTTTAGTTGTGGTTTTCAGCCTTGTCCATTATGCACAGACATTTCCCAGGGTTGACTGAATCTGGTCATGATCCTGTGCACCGTAGAGGGCAAAAAAACCTAAAATCCTTGCAATTCCTGGCTGAGGAACGTCATTTTTTAACTTTGACCCATCCTTGCTCATAAAAGACTAGGCCTTTCCTGGATGCTCCTTTCATACCCAAGCATAATTAGATTACCTGTTTAAGATGTTTTTTTTTTTTTATATTTCATGATGTTCCTAGTCCTAAATTGTCCCTATCCTAACTTTGGAATGTATTGCAGGCATCAATTTCAAAATGAATGTATATTTGCACAAAATAATGAAGGTGATAAGATAAACCACTACACATTTTGTCTGTTTCTGTTAAAATACAGGTCAAAGCTGATTTTTAAATCACTGTTTTCTGTTTTTTACCTGCTGTCCCAACATTTTTGGAATAGGGTATGTATTTTGAGTGCAACAGACTTAATTTATTTGGGTATGCAATGTGTGATACCAGTTGGAAAATCCCATTAAAATTGGATTTATTCTCTTTTATTTGACTTACTCGACTTTGCCTGATACTACACTTGAGATAATTACGTTCTTTCAAAGCTAAAACGTCAATTACATTTCAAAAACGGATCAATTCAACTAATATCAACTTGATTTGTTTTCTTAACACATACAATAACCAAGTTCTGTGTTATTTGAATGTAGGTTCACTGGTGGTTCTGGATAGTAAATAAAATGTCTATATTTGTGTTGTAGTCATGGCGACCCCTGGTTCCTATCACCACCACTGTAAAGGGAATTAGCCACTTTCTAGGGTGTCTCATTGTCAAAATCATTCCAGCACACTAGAACCTTCATTCCATGAAAGTTCCTGCAATGCACCAAAAAAACAGCGAGCATCGACTGCTCACTACGCTCCCTGACTGGAAATAGGGTCACGTCTCCAGCTTGGCTTTCGGGAAGCATTAAAATGGAGGAGGAACGCTGTATGCTATCTCACTCGCCTCTGCAACCGGCAAGAAAAGTTTCACACTTGTGCATAAAAACAACCTACCAAAAATAAAGGCTCTGGTCTTGCAGGATACATTAGAACAGTTTATCATTCATTACCCGTTTTCTGCTAAGTGAAATGTTCATAGCAGCCTGCTAGCTACTTCGCTAACGAGCTGCATTTGTCTCTGATTTAACTTCACTTATAATGTTTGCCACTAACTTCATAGACAATAATATAACACACTATATTTAACATATGAATATACTAGAACAAGCTATATTTTACAAGTATCATACTTTGTTTATTTATTTCAGGAACAAAATATGAGAATAAAGTAGAGTGATCTGCTAACAAGCTAACAGGCTAACTAGGCCCCTTCAGAAACTCAGTTACAGGCTTTAGGTTTAAATCTTTATTGAAAGCGTCAGATGAAATGACACTGAAATGTCTATTCAGTCAACAATTGGCTGTGTTTTAGCTACAGCTGATATTACTTATTCAGGTGAACCAATTATAATTAGCATTATGTTAGTGGTGTTAATCGAATTAAGAAAGGATTAACTGCATTCAATATTGCTAAGTGTGACTGAAACACAGCTTTATCTGGGCCTTAGTGGAACATCCTGCTAGAAAAACCAGCATAGACCAGCATAATTGACCCCTAGCAAAACCAGAACAGGGATGCGGCAAGCAGAATTGAGACACAGGCCGAATCCCAATTCTTATTTTCACCCCTACCCCTTGTTTTTGAGTGTTACCTTGTAGTTGTTGAAATCTTCCCTCTGAAATGGGACCCTCAAATAAAAAGAGCATCACTTCATTAACAGCTACCAGCGCTGCTCTGTAGGAGACCCTGCCAGTCTGCAGTGACAGCAGAGGAGGGTAAAGTTCAGCTCCTCACTGCTGGGCTTTAGTTACATCTAGGGCATCATATGACTTCAAAGAGGGGGGCAATTATTTATTATCACCCACCCCTAATTCTTCAGTGATATGAAGCTGAAGTCAGATATTTGTCAGCTTCATGTTCGAATTTTCCCGTTCCACCTTAAATGGTGCAGCAGTTCTGATGCCTGAGGCGCCAGAATGTAACTGCTGCACCATTTAAGGTGTAACGAGAAATTTAGAGAAATCTAGCTACCGAGACGTCAGCACTACTAGCGATTTTTTATACCTGTTATGAAGAAAAGGACCAAAATACATTGAAATGACGTTAAACTAAGATGATAAAATGGTTATTGTAATTTTTAACGAGAAAATTCTCACATTTGTGGGTTTCTTTGGTCTCTTGTTCTCCATCTTGCCGGTTTTTCTTGTTTTTCTCATATCACTCTGCTTGGAGTCTCTGAAAAACCTCTGTTTGGAGGGTCATGTAGCCCCAACACTTCGCCCTCCCCCTCTATCTCAACAAGAATCGGGACACCCTACCCCTAGACGTGAACACGCAAAACGGAGGGGAAGGGCTGAGTGGTAGGGGCGAGGGGTGAAATGGGTTTGGGCCACAGCCTGAGTCTCTACAACGAACCCTTTCACAAGCAAGCACCCTGAACAACTGCGCTTACATCTCGACCACAGAATTATCCAGAAAATTAGACGAAATCAGAGCAATTCCTTTTTAAATCTGTCTGATTCAACTCAGTTAATTACCCATCCGATTATCAAACTGTGCAGGGCTGCCGAGTTGGATGTTGACATTTCACAGTCAATATTTTCCCATGTTGAGGTGTTTGTGTCAGTTCCACAGTCAAGCTGTTAATGCGGTGTGTGTGTGTTCCCTCAGACCCCCCCAGAGGAAACAGGTGTTTCACCCAAAATAGATCCATCCATCCTTCGCCAAATACCTGCACCCTCACAAATGACTATTTTTAGTGCTATTTTTCACCAAAGCGTCTCACTCACATGCTGCGAAGGTCCTGTAGGTCAGTGTCGGCCGTGTAGTGAGCAGCGGAGCAGATGCTGATGATTCTGGAGCACGCTTCGGCCGTCCCGGAGCGCACCAGCACGCCCAGGAGCAGGCGGGTCAGTAGGAAGTGGCCCAGGTAGTTGACAGCAAAGTGCAGCTCAAATCCATCTTCTGTCTTCCCTTCAGGAACCAGCATGACGGCCGCTGCAAGAGAGCAAACAGCGTAGGTGCTAATTATAGCCAGACTGATTGCTCTGACGTGAAATGGTTGTAGAGACTCAGATGTCTTTACAGTGGTGGTGATAGGAACCAGGGGTCGCCATGACTACAACACAAATATAGACATTTTATTTACTATCCAGAACCACCAGTGAACCTACACGAGTCTTCTGAGTTTATATGGAATGTTGATGATGGGAAAATAGTGGAAAATCTGAAATAATAAGTTTCTTTGGGGACTATTTTGCCTCACAACACCCTGCATATTATGTATCCCTCCACCATGAATGGAGCTTAGGCCCAAAATGTTCTCAAAACTATTGTAAATCAACGTCTCGGACATCAGGCAGTGAATTCATAACCATTTCATGTAGTAACTTTCTGTGAGGGAGCTTTTAGAGGTGGACGTCTGGTTCCTATCACCACCACTGTGAACAGTTCTGACTTGGTAAGTTTCTCTAAAGCATTAGAGCATTTCACACCAAACCACTCTGAATGAGTCTGAATGTCTCATTAAATGTTTACTTCCTGTTCTAATATTGAAGGTCCCATATCAGTTTGACATACACTATATGGCCAAAAGTTTGTGGACACCTCATCCAACGTTTCTTCCAAAAACAAGAAACAAAAACAAAACAGGAGTTTGCTCAACAGTCTCTACTCTTCAGGTAACACTTTAGACTAAATGCTGGAATATTGCTGTGAGGATTTGATTGCATTCAGCAGTGAGAGCACTAGTGAGGTCAGGTACTGATGTTGGATGGTCAGTTCTGAATCACTCCAACTCATCCCAAAAGTATTGGATGGAGCTCCATCACTCCAGAGAACACAGTTCCACTGCTCCACAGCCCAATGCTGGGGGGCTTTATACCCCTCTAGCCCACGCTTAGCACAGGACATGGTGACCTTTGGCTCATGTGCGGGTGCTCCAGGCCGTCCTGTTCTATTATTAATGCTTTTCTATGGAGATTATACAAGCTGTGAGTGCATTTGACACTCCTGTGTCAGCAGTGAGTGCACCTCAATGCAGCTAAATTCACTAAATAGGAGTGTCCACAAACTTTCGGACATACAGTTTTTAGGAGTTTTAGAACATATTGTTCACTCCCCAGTACACACAGTCCATATATGGAAACTAAGCTGCAACAGCTCATTTGGAATTCCTTGTTTTATGTCATAAAAACCAGCACATTTACTTACGTCTGGCTATTCAGCCACAGCTGAATAGGAGTGTTTCAAAGGGACAGTACAAGGCAGTAAATCAGAACAGAGCTCATTTACACATATCAGACTGTTTAATTTTATGAGATGGAAAACGGTCATGTAAAAACTGTATTTTGTAATGTTTCTGATGGAAAAATAGCATTAATTGTGAAAAAATAAGGTTTTTTGGGGACTATTTTGCCTCACAACACCCTGCATGTATCCCTCCACCATGAATGACTTTTTAAAATGTTTTAAAAGCTTCTCAGAACTATCATAAAACAGTGTCTCAGTCATCAGGCAGTGAATTCACAACCATTTCATGTAGTAACTTTCTGTGAGGGAGCTTTTAGAGGTGGACGTCTGGTTCCTATCACCACCACTGTGAGCAATTCTGACTCGGCAAGTTTCTCTAGAACAGAGCGTTTCACACCAAACCACTCTGAATGACTCTGTTTACATCTTAATGTTGAAGATTCTCCTTTAAAATCAGTATTTTTGACCAAAAAAATTCATTTCAGTCGAGCCCTAGTTCTAAGGTGGGACCAAGTTTCATCAGGACGTGAGCAGAGCAGGACAGAACAGTGCTGACTCTGAGCGTAAGGCGAGGTAAGAGCTTTCTCTTGTACCCCTGAAATCACCTCCTACAGCAGACGTGGGCAGTTTTAAGGACCTGTGGGAGCACAACACCGCACCGTTTAGTGTTTTTCCCACTCCTTCACACCTGATTCTGCTCTCTAGGGGCTTAATAATCAGTTAGCAAGTGGAATCAGGTACATCAGAGCAGCAAACCTGTACAATACTGTACTCCATTTGGAGAAAATAGCATGGTGAAGGTAGTATAGTGCATAAACGGCTTTTAAAAGAGAGCACAGCAGGTAAGAGCAGGTTCACCTTGAGCTGCTACAGGAGCGGGAGTGTTTAGACAGTTATGTTGTCTTCCTTTGCTTCCCACCTTCCTGACCTGTTTACGGACTAATCTAATTTTTGCATTCGGAGCAGCATATTGTTCAAAATCAGTGAGTATAGATAATCAGGATTAGACCGTTGTTCATAATCAACAAATACGTGCGCCGTGTTGCACTTTAATCAACGTGTGCTGATGGATGACTGATACAATATGACTTAGCTTGATTATTAATAGCTGATAATCCTCACAACATCCTTCAGTATGACCTACTTCACTTTGTACAGCGTTGATGGTTTGGATTTAAGTCTCTTAGGCCACGGATCAATCGGCCTGCGCGCAAACTCATCAGAGTCCCGTATCAGGAGGCGCTGGTGGAACGCACCGTTGTTGATGAGCGCGTGCAGCGGGAGCCTTCGGTCCTCAAACCTGCGGACAAACCGTCGCACGGAGTCCATAGAGGCCAGGTCCAGGAGCTCAAAGTCCACTGAGAACAAAACACAGACAAACACAATAAGCCGAGCATTTATTTACTTATTTATATTGTCATATATATAAATGCCCCCAAAAACAGGAAATTAGATAGACAGATAGATAGATAGACAGAAAGACAGATGGACAGACAGATAGAAAGACAGATAGATAGATCGATAGACAGACACAGACAGACAGATAGATAGATAGACAGAGAGATAAATAGAGAGATAGATAGATAGACAGATAGACAGACAGATAGACAGACAGACAGATAGATCGATAGACAGACACAGACAGACAGATAGATAGATAGGTAGATAGATAGATAGATAGATAGATACATAGATAGATAGATAGACAGATAGATAGATAGACAGATAGAGATAAATAGAGAGATAGATAGATAGACAGATAGACAGACAGATAGACAGACAGACAGATAGATCGATAGACAGACACAGACAGACGGACAGATAGACAGATAGATAGATAGATAGATATATAGATAGACAGATAGAGATAGATAGACAGATAGATAGACAGACAGACAGACAGACAGATAGATAGATCGATAGACAGACACAGACAGACAGACACATAGATAGACAGATAGATAGACAGATAGATATATAGATAGACAGATAGAGATAGATAGACAGATAGACAGATAGATAGACAGATAGACAGAAAGATAGATAGATAGACAGACAGACAAACAGACAGATGGACAGACAGATAGAAAGACAGATAGATAGATCGATAGACAGACACAGACAGACAGATAGATAGGTAGATAGATAGATAGCATCACAAATTGTGATTTGGCAAAACTATAATAATAATAAATACAATAATATAATTAAAGATAAGTATTTTGGGCTTAGCAGAGCGAAGTGTGTTAATAAGTACAGCTTTTTTGGTCACATGAAGTTGATTTTCCATGTGAAAATAAGTTAACACATCCATTTTTATGCAAAAACTTCTTGGAAAAACCTAAAACATGAAATATAACGTGCTATGACGTTTACACAGGACACGTGTTCTGTTTTATCTTTTTCCTATATGTTAAATTCAGGAAATAAACAGTAACTGTACATGATGCCGAAGTGTGTTCTCTGTAGAGGATGTGTTAAATTATTTCACTTAGAACAACAACAACACATGACCAAGGGCAGCCAAACTTTCGCATACAACTGTATGAGTCACAGGGGTCGACACTGCCGACTGCCCGGTAGCCCTGGCCATAATGTTTCACATTAAAAATGCAGAGCCTGCAGCACAGGTGGCTGATCCTTGTGTGAGACCCAGAGGTTGTTTGGATTGGATAGGACTGAAATTTCAGCCACCGAACATATTTGGCCAAAAGTGACACATTCGGTTTTCAAACGAGTAGAACATTTTGGCTGAAAAGCAAAAGATTAAATAGATCTACAATGAAGTGTCAACACTGACACTTAACAAATAACAAGCTCCTGGGGAGCTCTCTGCTCAGCTCTGCAATCTGCCGGAACACCTCAACAGGCCTAGACATGCTTCAGCTGATCAGTGACCTGAGAGAGAAGGAGACTACAATTTAACCTTCAGACCAGCACGCTACCACCTTAATAATGGATTATTAGCTCGTTCTTCATCATCAGCCACGCAGGAATGTAAATGTCCGCGCCTGCGGCCGGTCCAGACTGCGCCAATCATCGTGGCTTTGATTTGGGATTTATCCCGGCCCATTTTTAGCGCCACAACATCAAAGACCGCAGGCCGGCGCCTATTAATCTCTTCAAACTAGGCACTTACACAAAATAAATACAGCTTTCATCTGTGCCGGGCGGCAGAGAAGGCTCGCGGATCCCTAGCAGGCTGGGAAATGAATAGGCGAAAATAAAAGCAGATGGTGGTTTTCCCTCGACATGATTTCAATTAGAATATCAGAAAGCGAAAATCAGCTCATGCGTTCTGGATCGGCTTGCCTGGAGTGTAATATCATTTTCTGAAAACTGCTGACAGCCCAGCTTCAGCTGGTAAAGGGTAATAACAGCAGGCCTTTATCCTCAACCCCCATCTGATGGCCCTGCCATGCTCTCGTCTGTCGTCTCCAGGACACTTTCGCTCAACCACCTGACGACTGTCAGGATGGGATGAATGTCCTGGCACCCAAAGCCTTCACCCTGAGGCTCCACCAGGTCACGACGACTGTTTGAACACTTCAAAACTACCACCACAAAGGACCGGACTGACTTTCTACGTACGTCAACTACAAATACTGGATTAGCTTGGAATTATCCCGATTACCCCTAAGATGAAGTCCTACAACTAAAACCACTCGGCCCTGTCTACAAAGTTCTCGGCCTAGTGCGCATTAGATGGAGATACAGTTCCAGTTCCAGTCCTTTTAAGTCATTCCAGTCCTTTTAAGTCATTTCGTCGTCGGACTACAGTTAAATTCGGACAGAATTTCATTGGGCTACAGTTTAGTTTAGACAGAATTTCATCAGGCTACAGTTCAATTTGGCAAGAATTTTTTCGAGCTACAGTTAAATTTGGACAGAATTTCGTCAAGCTACAGTCGGGTTCAGACAGTTTTGTTGAGCTTCAGTCAAATTAGGAAAGAATTTTGTGGGCTGCAGTCGGGTTTGAACAGAACTTTGTCAGCTACAGCCCAATTTGGACAGAATTGGGGCTAAAGCTGCATCCTGCCAAGAGATTTGAAACACATTACATTGCTTATGGGAGATTGGATGTTTTCTCCAGTGACTCTACACAGAGCTCAACATTTTAATCTTTGATTTTAAGTCCTCTGGGATAAATTAGTTTTATTCAAGTTTAGCTTCAAAGTTTACTCACACATAGAAAAAGACCGCCTACATCTCCGAAGCCCAAGTGGAGAGACATTCAGAACCTTATGCAACCTTTAAAATACACATAACACCTTTACTGGCCCATAGAATCACTCGCACCTGTCTACAAACTTCTCAGCCTCGTGCGCATTAGTAGGAGATACAGTTCCAGTTCTAGTCCTTTTAAGTCATTCGTCATGCTGAGTCACGTACTGACAAGCAGAGAATTAGCTTCTAAAACGAGATATGAACTGGAGAGGTCACCTCAACCACCTGCAGCACAACGACACTATCAACTCCATTAAAAGGATCATAACATCAAACAGTAGTAATGTGGCCAACAACAAATGAAAGCAAAATGAGCCCGCTAGCGTGATTCCACATGACACCAAAGTACAAATGTATCCCAAGAAGGTAAAAGGGATTAAATTTCTGTGACACTAAATCCATAAGAAGCTCCTCTGAAGGACAGACGCATGGGAATGCATCTCCAATGCAGCTGACCAAATCAAAATTACCCACGAAAACTCCTGTCTCAACTTCTACAGGATAATCCAGTCTGTCCAAAAATAGGTCACCAGGACTGAAGTGCACTTTGTAGTAAATTAACCAACATGAACATGAACTGTGTATGTGAACGTGAGAACGAAATAACAAAGATGGGCCAGTAAAGGGGTTATGTGTATTTTAAAGGGTGCATAAGGTTCTGAATGTCTCTCCACATGGGCATCGCTCTTCTTCTATGTGTGAGTAAACTCTGAAGCTAAACTTGAATAAAACTAATTTATCCCAGAGGACTTAAAATCAAAGATTAAAATGTTGAGCTCTGTGTAGAGTCACTGGAGAAAACATCTCCCATAAGCAATGTAATGCGTTTCAAATCTCTTGGCAGGATGCAGCTTTAGCCCCAATTCTGTCCAAATTGGGCTGTAGCTGACAAAGTTCTGTTCAAACCCGACTGTAGCTGACAAAGTTCTTTCCTAATTTGACTGAAGCTCAACAAAACTGTCTGAACCCGACTGTAGCTTGACGAAATTCTGTCCACATTTAACTGCAGCCCAAACACAATTCTGTCCAAAGTTAACTGCAGTCCGACACAATTCTGTCCAAATTTAACTGCAGTCCGACACAATTCTGTCCAAATTTAACTGTAGTCAACTGTGTATATATATATACACATATACATATGTTTAATTACTAATGATTATAATTTTTCTTGTATTTATTCATTTTTTATTCTAATAATAATGATAATTATTACTCTCCCTGTCAAGTATTTATTTATTTATTTATTTATTTTGATGCATTCCCTATGGTATATGATGTCAGTATTCTATCTTGTCAACCTTTTAACTGCTGTAAATATGTGTATTTGCAAAGTCTATAAATATATCATAAATAAAAAAAATCAATGTGATTTACTAAAGGTTTTGAAATGTGTTTTTAGCTGCACTAAATAGTCAAACGATGAATTGAATAAAATTAAACTGGATATCTGGAGTCAAATAAGTTGATGGTACGCAGAGTAACAGCCCATGGAGGGACAGAAAAGGTCCATAACAATTAAGAATGGAGCAATGATTCGGTTAAAAAAAGAAACAAAAACTAAAACTAGTCAATTTTCATTCATTTCATTGAGTTTATTCACTGTGACGTAGGTCACTTTCTGGCGAAATGGACCTCACTGAAATTTTAATCCTATAGGGCCCTGAAAACAATGACAGCCAGATCATCAATAAACAAGATTTCAATTATTAACAGCCACAATTAAGTTTAAATTTCTAAACAAATGTAAGACACTTATTCAATCAATGCCTTTGAATAACACCACTGTCTCTCTGGATAAACTTGACAGAACATGTTGTTGTGAAGAAAAACCAGGGAGGAAAATGAAAGCATGGGAGATGCTGTGAGAAACCCTATCAGGAAATTTGAACCTGACCCCACACAAAGTTTGAAACATGATCTGATACGATACAGTGGGGTCGCGAAACAATACATGATACGGCAAAAACAAGCAGTGCTTGAATAACACAATGAATTGTGTTAATATGTTTCCACCACGTTCCACTTTGGGCGTACTGGTTTTTGTTTTAAAATAAAAACACATTGTTTTGTTCTGTTTTTTTGATACTAACAGATATTTGAGAAATGACGTCCGAATCCAACCAAACCCTCC